CCCCCCACCCAACCCCCCCGAACCCCCCCCTGCCCCCATCTTCCATATTCCAACGCGTGTGTTTGTGTATGTTCTTGCCCCCCAAAGGACTGTATGAAAAATCAGCTTCACTACACGCGCGGTTTTAAGCCCATTAGCATAAACGACATAAACAGTGGTGACGCTAAACCAGATTTTACATTCCACAAGAGTGGAGACTGCAGTCAACAGGTGTAAAGTCTTGATGTTCGGTGTGCGCCAGGAGAAGAAAGAACGCTCAGATGTTCAGTGTTTGTTTGCATTGGTTCCAAGTTGTTGCGCTAATAACGAACCAGGCACAAACTAATTGTAATTTTAAACAGCTTAGCTTCATTGATTCTGCTCTCAAAACTGTGGTTCAACTTGACACCTCAACATACACAGAAACATGTCTTCACTCAATTCCTTTGGAATATTGAAATATTTAGGGTGTTTGTTTGTGATGACTTGCTGATGGGGAACCAAACACATACTATTTGTAATTCCTGTGACAAAACGCTTTTTAAACAGATTCATTTGTGAAAATGATTTTTATCTCAAAACTATGGTTCAACTTGACACCTTAACATATAAAGAAATATGCTGAAACAAAAAAAGTTTTTCTTAAACCTCCTTGGTGGAATACAGTTCAACCAACATTTTGTAAAGTTTTGTGATTATTTTTGGTTTCTATTTGTAAAAAGTCATAAAAGAAAGAGGAGGCCTAACGCCCTGGTGCCGCCGACCCCCTTTTGGGGGAAGGACTGGGCGGACTAACGCCCTAGAGACAGTTTTTGGAGCCCTCGAATCGAGCTTTTGAGAGACCCAGCTTGTATACAGGAAGCTCATGGAGAGTGGATGCAAGTGCTGGGCTTCCATGATTGCTTGAGTTGCCAGGGCTACCTTGTTCGAGCTATGGACACCCACATACCTGTGCCGAGCACAAACGCAAAAGCAGACGGAACAGAAACGACCACGGAAGGGCCTGCAGATGCGCGTGGCAAACAGGAAGGAAGCAACAGCGGGACGCTGCCGACACAGGGAGGAAAAGCCGCGCTGCCGTACAGTTATCGCTGCCCACACTGCGCTGGGGAAGTGCAAAGCGCTATTAACAGCGGCCGAGCCAAGCGCAGGGTCAATCAAGCACTGCGGAAAAGCGTGCATCACGGCAGCATATGTGGGCAAGTGCACCCCCACCTGCCCGCCCTCAGCCGGAGAGCTCGAAACCAAACAAAACGAGCTGTAGGAGCTGAGGCCAAAGGCCATGGCAGGCAGTGGCAAAGCCCTCTCGAGCCGCCGCAAGGGGTGGTCCCGCCACTTCCTTCCCCCATCTAATTCGGCGTGCAAACGGGTGCCAGACGGCAGCGTTTGAGGCTGCGGACAGGGTGCCTAACGGCAGTTTCAAAGCCGAATAAAAAGCAGCTTGGCAGGAAGATTCATTCGACTACCAGATGAAGAACGACCCCCATGAAGACAAGCAGAACAAGACAAAGAAGCCAAGGTACCTCTTCCACTTTGCCAGCAGAACGACGATGGCTCTACATGTTGATCTGCGAGCGCAAGAGATGTTGACCGAAGAACAGCTGATTGCGCATTGGCCACTCTTAAGTGGCTCAGTTTGTGCGTGAAGACGCCTTTGAAAAGTTGCGCATCTCCCGGGTGTCAGACGACATGGTTGTGGTCGATTGCACAGGGGTAAGGAAGTTCAAAAAAAATCCCGACGGCCCCAAGGAGGCGAAATCCAGACTCTGCGCAAGAGGATTCATGGATGCTCAGAAAGCAGCTCTTCCAACCAGAAGCGCTACAGCGACCAGGTTGTCACAGCGCATCCTTGCCAGCGTGGCTGCAGCGCTGGGTTTCAATGTTGAATCATTGGATGTTTCTGGAGCTTTCTTGAAAGGACTTTCATTTCACCAAGTGCGCAAGTTGTTGAATGAAAAGGGCCATAGCCTATAACTGTCCTCGACGAACAGTCGTTGTGATTCCTCCTGCAAACGTTTGGCGACATTTGGCAGCAGTGAATCCAAAGCTCAATGTTTCTGAAGACCAGCTGTCAGACTGGGTTCTTTTGGCTTCTTGAAGAATGAGCAGGGGGAGATCACGGCGCTTATGACTACGCACGTTGATGATCTGGCCATTGCGTCAGATCTCAAACAGCTGGACACCTTCCATAGCGACTTCCACAAGCAGTTTGGCAAAGTCACACGTCAAGTGATGCCATTTCAGCATTGCGGATGTCGATACGCCTCCATGCCTTGCGGAATCAGAATCGACCAAGAAGAGTTCACTGAAGACCTCACGATTGTTGAGATCAAGAACAGCCGTGATGAAGAGAGAGCATTGACACCAGAAGAAGTCACACGGCACAGGTCACAGTCTGGTGCATTGTTGTGGCTTACTGCAACCAGGTTGGATTTATTTTCCTGACCTTTCTCACACAAGCCAAGGTCAAACGCCTGAAGGCCGCCAACAGCGTTGTCAAGAAGGCCAAGAATTCCAAGTTCAAGACCCTTGGTCTTGTTTACCGCCGCTTGGATCCCAGCAGATCTTGGCGGATCATGTGTGTGTGTGTGCGTGACGCAAGTGCTGCGTCAAAAGGGCGAGTGTATGCTCATGAAGGAGTTCTGATTTTGCTGGCTCATGACACTCTGGAGTTGGATGACAAGGTTTTCATTTTCTGGAGAGGATTTTCCATGGAGCAGATTTGGAGGCAGTGCACTTTTTTTGTGGGCACAAGGCAACAAGGCCAAAGGATGGAGTCAGCCTCACTCATCGCACTCTGACTTGGTGAGTTGTTGGTTCAAGAACGGAGACCAACGTTGCAACGCTTGGCTGCTTTGCAAGAGAAATGGAGTTCCTTTCCTGCCTCCTGTTGATGCCTACGCAGACTGCCGAGACTTCTTCGAGCTTTCGACCGGAGTCAAGACAATGCCACAAGACAAGTCTCAGAGGGTCTACATCATGGCGCATCGAGAAGCACGCCTATGTGGACGACTAAGGTGGCTGATTTTGGTTCCGATTGAATGTATGACCAGTGACGCATTGACAAAACCGATGGTTTCGCCAAGCTTGAACGAGTTGATGTCCTCCAGAATCGTATTCTTCAATGTGGAGAAGCGCCCAATTTTAGCTCGTCGTTTGCCGCCAGTGGACGAGATCGACGAAGAAAAGTTGATGACGCCGGACAACGACCTTTTGCGTATGCAGCGTGGACCTTCAAGCCAACCACCAGGTTTGCGTGTCTGTGTTTGTCGACATTGTTGACAAAAGCTAAGGCTTTGACAGTGGATGCAAAAGAAGAAAAGGACTCTGGTGCTTTTCAGCTGCTGTTCGTTTTCACCAGCGTGATAGCAAATTTGATGTGGACCATGATGAAACATATGACGGAGAAAGTTCCACAACGAAAACAAGAAGCAGAGCAGTTGTTCAAACAGCCCGCTCACTTCGAGACCTTTGAGCAGATGACGCAGACAGAAGGATCACACCTCCAGATGACCCCACAGAACTTTCAACAGCTGGAGAAACAAGTGGAACAGAGAGATCGCGAGATTCGTGATCTTGAACACAGTTGGCCCGCTGGCAGAACAGGTTTGACACATTGACTGCGAGAATTGCAGTGGCCGAGAGAGGATGAAGCACGAGTTCTGAGGGAGAAGATCGTAGAGCGTAGGAAATATTGCCCATGCAACCGCTCAGTGTTCACGACCGATACAGGTGATGGCTTCCACAATCGACGGGATTGCCGCAAGCTTAAAATGGTTAAGGCCGCCCCTGTAAACGAGCCTGAAGGACTAAGTGCGGAATGAACTTTTGTCCATGTGTGTAACCACATTGTCATGTCAGGCTTCACGATACCCGAGGTGCACCTTTCGAGGAACAAAAGCCCGAGAGCTACCAAATGAAACCTTGCGTCTTTCGAGAGTCACAAACAACATAGCCCTCAAAGAATTGGGGGATTGGGGTACACAAGTTCTTTGGGTCTTGCAAAAGACTCCGCTTTCCCTGTCTACACCCAGCCACCCTTTTCAGCCCTTCAATGGCCCCCCCAACACCTGAGCACTGTCTAGATTTGGAACGAAGCGCATCACCAAGGTGTGCTCCTATCTGATCCCCACCTACAGCCCCTAACCAGTCCTCTAGTGGCCAAACCCTTCCCAAGACCTTGTGTCCCCAATTTTATATAGAGAGCTATTTTTGGACAGGTCCACCAATCAAGCCTCGCCTCTTTCAGGCGGAGACACACACAATGTAGCTCTCAAAGAATTGGACTCTTGGGGTGCACACTGAATTAGTTGGAAAACAAACAACCAGCCCCAGCAGCAAATGCCAGCAGCACCTTTCCCTGTGTACACGCAGCGCCCCTTCCAGCCCACCAATGGCTGCCCCAAGATTTGAGCACCCCCCTGTCTAGAATTGGAATGCGTAGCCTCACCAAAGTCGTCCTTGGGATCACCCTTTGAGGGCCTGAGGAATGACAAGGCCCCTGTAGCTACTAGAATCAGGGGAGTCTTTCATCCCATATATAGATGTCAATATTTTGTTGTCGTGGCTAGTATCCTCAGGCCTCTTGAGTTTATAGAAACCATATATTGCATATAGTATTTTTTGGGACATGTTTGTGTCTAATCTTGTGAGCTCGATTCTATACTACGCTCATTTTCCATGTGCTCTTGATTCTTTACCACATTTTCTTCCCTAGGGGCCATGTCCACAGATTTAGACAAGTGGGCTGCGCTGACCTACCCCTGTAATATCAAATTGTTTATCGTAGGCAAAGTGGGACTTGGTCACTCAAGGGCGATAACGCTTGTTTCCTTGACACTTGGACACGAAAGAAACATATACTACTTTGCATGTCCAGCAGAGCAACACAACAATTCGGGCGACTTTTGTTGGTCTTCGAAGATGAGACAGAGTATCAGGAAAACAATCGCAAAACAAGTAAACAAACAACACCTGAATAGCTTGGCCTTTTGGATTTGTTTGTGCTTCACTCTTGCCAGGAGGAGAATGTCCAGCTCACCCGGCAGACCCACGAGCTTAAGGATCAGAAAAAAATCATGCGAGCTGAAGAGCAGCACAGACTGAATTTTTCCCGCAAACAGACTGTTTTGTTTGCCGGAAGGAGATGATCAAGAAGCAAAAGCGACAAATTAGAGGCCAAGACTTGCCACTCCGGCTTAGGTCTCATTTTGCAAAAAACATGTTCGCTCTGTTTGTGCCAGACCTACAATTGGACATTGACATGCACATGAAAGAGACAGCGGATTTGATATTGCAGAAGGAACAAGGCATAGCTGAAATGGTCTCAACCCTAGAGGTGGAATTAAACATTTCACCCAACCGGACAGAGTGGGAATGCAACTTGTGCAAAAAGGACAGACCGATACTGCAGAGTATGTCTTGGTACAGTTGTTAATGGGTTGAAATGCCTGAGTTCCTAGGGATGGATAGGGAACGCTAGGATCCTTTTGGCCGAGGTTGGTGATTATGCAAAATTGCAAGCTCAATTCAGGAATGAAGTGGAGCAAAAGGCGAGGGGATGACATGGATGTTTTGAGGTGGGACAGGCTATAGTTGTTGAAGCTCTAGGGCCGCTAGGGTGCTGCTGGAAAGTTGTTATTTTTTTGTAAGGAGCGAATCACCATCGAGCTCACTGAAGAGAAGCGCGCGATTGTGGCATCTTTTCAGGCGGAGAAAGAAAGAATGGGACACAAAAGAAGGGTGACCGTCGGCTGTGACTTTTACACTCTTTACAAGCCAAGGACATGCGCATGTTTGTTTCTGATTGTACATTCTTTTGCACACCTGCAATCTTTTTCTTGCAGCTCAGGCCAGGATTGAACAGCTTGAGCAGCTCCTGGAAGCCATGAGGTTCACCGACCGCGAGGTTCTGGAGAGTTGCTTGTCTTCACCGTTCTTTGGATTTTTATTGCTGGCAGACATCATGTGAATCTTGGGAGGAACTTGTAGATACCATAGACGTTTGGAAGCGGGCCTACGAAAGAGTGTGTATCGCGCGCGATGAGATGGAGGCCTCTACACTCTTTTGCGTACCACTGAAGCAAAGCATGCTCGTGACTCATGACTCACAGATCCGAATGTTCTGACTCAGGAGGAGTATCAAGGTCAGCTTGTCACAAAGGACAAACAACTCAGGCTTGGCCAGCTATTGCTGCAGTTTGCAAATGCTTGTGATCCAGTGTTGAAGCACAGTTATAGTCAGCGAAGCCATATCTGAAACCTGTCTACCACACTGTTTGTTTGAACGCAAAGGAAAATGGCCCTAGACAATGCAGAGGAGCGTGTAGCTTCACACTTCAAAGATCTGAATATTCAGCGTTTATGGTCGCGCAGACCCGACTGCAAGGAGCGGGAAAATGTGCAAAGAGAGATGGACAAGTGGCTTGAGAAGATCCAGGAGGCACAGACTTTGGCCGCTATCGCCTTCCTCAGATGTGCACAAAGAAGTCAGACAGGTCGAGGAGGAATGGAAGAAAAAGATGGTCCCCTTGCATGTTCAGAAGGACGAGGCTCTGACATCGCACGATATCAATGAAACGTTCAAAAGAGGAAGTTCAAAAAGGGAAGATTTGGCTTCAAAGGGTCGCTGAATACCTCGAGGGTATTTACCCAGTGAACACCGGGGGGCTATGTCGAAAGGAGCTGCCGCACTTGTTCAAGGGAAGCCGCTTCAAGAGGTCAAGCTTGAAGCCAGCAATACCAACAGGAGTAACCACGAGTAGATCCAACCTCGCGGTGCTGGGCATGATACAAGTCAAATCATGTTAAACTGTTAAACTATGAACCCTAGATTACAGAGGTACTCTAGCAGTAAAAGCAAACTCAAGAAGTGAACATAGATTTGACAATGGTGCTGAAAAGCAGGCTTTGTGGCAGGATCACCTGGATGGGGAGTACTCCAGCTGGAGTCTCCAGCCCAATTTTGCCAAACGCTGCTCGAACTATTCAAACACTCAATAATAAACCGATAAAATGACTATATAACCCATCCGCTTGGACCTGGCAAACCCCGAGACCGAAGCAACACAGTATCGATACCATTTTCCCAACGAGGGTCATTTCAAGGCAAGATTTGTATTTATGCAGTAGACTCAAAATCCAGAAATTCGACCGCCTCGTAGATCGTTCTCAGATTACATGCATAATCTTTTGCGTGCCTTCCCTGGTGTTATGGTGCATCCATACAACCAACGCATCTCTTTATGCTGGGACTAAATCATGCCCTAAGGGCCTTGAGCATGTATTTCATGTGTATGTATATACCTGCATGAGGAGTTTTGACTATGACACTGATGACAACAACAGTTTTCGAGGCTTTGAATGCCGATCATCATCACCACCATCAGATCGCAATCATCATCATCATCATCATCATCATCATCATCATCATCATCATCATCATCATCATC